CTACAGACCAGTATTTGCATTTTGACTCCCATCACCCACTGGAACACAAGTCATCAAGTCATCAGAACCCTGTACCACAGAGCAGACAGTGTCCCCACAAACACAGGAACCAGGGAGAAGGAGAAATCACACACAAGACAGGCCCTGGAGCAGTGCAGTTATCCTGACTGGGCTTTCCTGAAAGCAGACAAGAAATCCAAGCAGGATTCCAGCCAACAACCAGGTGAAAATGAAGACCCTAAACCCAGACCCAAATCAGTTGTCATTTCGTATGCTGCAGGAGTTTCAGAGAAACTCAGACGTGTATTCTCTAAACATCACATCCTAGTGGCTTTCAAACCCCAAAACACATCACAGCAAAGACTGGTTCAGCCCAAAGATCCAGTTCTCCAGCACAAACAGAGCAATGTTGTGTATGCTGTTAAGTGCCAGGAGGTCTCTGATCAGTTATACATCGAGGAAACAAAGCAATCACTGTTCAAAAGAATGAGCCAGCACAAACGAGCAACATCATCAGGCCAGGACTCTGCAGTTTACGCTCATCTACAGGTGAGGACTCTGCAGTTTACACTCATCTACAGGCCAGGACTCTGTAGTCTACACTCATCTACAGGCAAGGACTCTGCAGTTTACACTCATCTGCAGGCCAGGACTCTGTAGTCTACACTCATCTACAGGCCAGGACTCTGTAGTCTACACTCATCTACAGGCAAGGACTCTGCAGTTTACACTCATCTATAGGCCAGCAGTCACTCTTTGAGTGATGAAGATGTTCTCATCCTTGATAGAGAGGAACGTTGGTTTGAGAGAGGAGTAAAAGGAAGGCATTTTTGTTTAGAAAAACCGTCCACCATTAAACAGAGGTGGAGGCCTTCGTGTCCAGTTGTCCTCCTCCTTCAATGCTGTTATTGCAAGTATGACTCCGCCCCCTGTGAGCATAGGTGTGAATCAAGGCCCCAACGATAGTCAGGTGATGGAGCACATGATCCTCAATGAACAATACAGTTAATCAAGGCACCTACGACCTATTGTTTGGCTGATGGTCCTCTTTTGCATATGACCAACCTGTTTGTCCACCATGTGGAGGCAGTGCTTATAAGGCTGAGTTCACCTGAAACTCTACAGACTGAAGAAGTCTCTTGGA